AAATCACTGCTGACATTCCATATCCGGTGTAAAACAATCTCGATTGGGGTTGTCCCCTTGATAAAACAAAGGAATGCCATGCCAGATCAAACCACTAGTCCATGTAGTCTAAAATCTAGTCTCTGACAGTGACTGATGCCAGATACATTCATAAATGGTGTATAAAATCTTCTTCGGCTTTATAATATGTAATAGCCTGCTTATACGGAAGTTTCTTCCTAAATCTGATCAGTTAGTAATTGGGATATATCCATGATATTTTACCAATCTATTAGCAGATATTTTGTAATTCAACTGTGGGTTTTTTCCATTTCCCTTTGGCGTGCCAGTACTGCCTCTTAGCACTAGGCAAGAGCACCTCCACCATACATTTTATTTATGACTCTAATTTTGTAGGTTAATCTACATGAACTGTTCCCTGTGCCTATGCGAAGGCCCATTTTCACTGCTGGGCCAGTATGGAGCCTTTGAAAAAATGAGAATCAGGCTCAGTGCAATTTAGCATGCATTAATAATCATAGCTATTAATGCGCTGGGTCCCTGTGAAATAGCAGTAAATTAATTTATTTCCATGCTTTTCTTTTTTAAATTAATGGCAGAATGTAAGTGTTCATGGATTAAGTAACTGCCAAGTAGAGCAGAAGACTATAATGTGGGACAGATGATAAGAATGTTCCCATTATGCTAGTTTGCCAGTGAATCTGAATCTTAACCTGTAGTATCTCCTACTTCAGTTTTGATCTTCTGCTTTGAACATAGACTGTTTTCTGCACTGTCCTGAGATGTGAATAAACCTTATCTTCCTCCGTAAGAAACAAACTCTTCTGAGGAGAGCTCAAGAGCCAAGTACTTCTATACTTGCATAAACACAGATAAACTTGACTGAAATCCATGAAGTTATTTGGAATTACAAGGGGATAAATGATAACAGCATTTGGGCCAGCAAATAGTTTTGCAAATACTTTCCTGACTTTCATTAAGACTAAGAACTTGGTGTAAAAGAATGGATTGTTGAAAGATCTATAGACATATGCTTCAGTGTTAAAGCCTCTGCTCTTGTTTCTATAGGGGTGGATTTAGCATTTTCTTCAATCTTCCCCAAAGGCATTGGAAATATGCTCTAGGTTTAGTACTCTAAATTCCTGGTGAACTGCAACTTGGCATTCATGTATGACTTTTAAAGTTCATATTACATATACAGTGCTTTTAAAGTAGCCGCAAAGCTATTTAAGATTGTGCTAAATGCCAGATAGGATGAAGAGGGGGCAGCACTATGTCTTCTGCTGACACAGAAGAGATGGCAGGCACCGGCATGTTTGACTATCTTAATAGCCGAGTAAATGGACAAATTCAAAATGCTTTCACTTTGTGGGACAGATCTTCAACTGGTTCCACTGAAGTAAGTGAAACAAAACTGATTTATACAAGCCTAGGGCATGACCCATTATGTAGTAAATCAGAGCTGTTCAGCTTCTGGGCTATGCTGCCCCTGGGCTGTAAGCAAGGCTGTCCCCAAGGGTGGCAGCAGGAAGTGGAAGCTGAAGGTAGGAGGTGGTGATGGTACTACTAGTAGTAGTAACAGTAGCAGGTGATGGAAGGAGGTGGTGATGGCTGGGGGAATGCTGCCTGGGCCCACTGGAGGTTGTAGGGAGCTAAGGAGGTAAAAGAATTAGGATCCTGTGGGCCATAAGATAACCACTCGCAGGTTGCATGTGGCCTGCAGGCTGCAAGTGAGACAACCATGTAGTAAACCACTGGATTTTTTCATTTTCTTTATTAAGGGATTACATATTACATATACATTGTAAATAAAATATGATATAGAAAAGCTTCCATTTGAACAAGCATAGTATAGTAAGGTACAAATATAAAATGAAGGATTACTGGCTAGTCAGTAGCACAAAAATGGGGGTTATGGCAGGTTGCCTCAATAGAAGCTTTGCATGAAAGGCACAGGAATGCCACTCTACTTGGCACTGGTTAGGCCTCAACTAAAGTACTGTGTGCATTTTAAGAAGTATAGAGAAACATTAGAGAGGGTCCAGATGTGAGAAACAAAGATAATAAAGGGAATGCAAGCCATGTGAGGAAGGGTTGAAGGAACTAGACATATTTAGTTTGGAGACGAGGAGAATATAGAAGGAAATGATAGCAGTTTTCAAATATTAGGAAGAAAGCCATAAGGAAGATTGTTCTCTCATCACAGAGGACATGTGGCAGTAGGCCTGAACTGCAGCAAAACAGATTTGGATCAAATCTCATTAAAAATAATCTTGACTGGAAGAACAGTTGGACAGTGGAAAAATCTGATTAGAGAAGCTGTGGAATCATTTTCACTGGAGATTTTTAAGGAGAGGCTGGATCAGCATCACTCAGTGGTTTGGGAACAGTATTTGGAGTAGATGTCCCTTGAAATTCCAGCCATATAATTCTATGAAGGCACCATCGCTATCATCACAATATGTCTTCATACAGTTTATGCTAGTAGTAGCATTTCAAAGTATACACAGCCTTTGTTAACACTGAAAATTTACACAACAGACACAAGAAACATTACTACTGGTTTCAAAGCTAAGCAAGGACCCAACAAAACAGCAAAAACCCTGGACAACGAGGTCTATCAAAATGTCAGGATCCGATTTAGGCATATTTATGGTAGCAGTAATTTCCAGAGGTAAGCTCCTTCTATCTAGAATGCTCTGTTCCTTGTTCCTTCAAGTGCACGCTTCACACAGGACGTGTGTGATGCATCAGAATGGGGAGATGCCACTGGGTAGCATTTAGCATTTAAAGGCTCTGTAGATGGTAACCACAACCTTATTGGAAATGGCCCAATGGATTATTAGAAATGTTAACTTTTCTGTGTGTGCTATAATGCTCCAGAACACCAAAGCAAGAAAGGATGTTATCTTCTAAAAAAAAAAAGGGAAAGAAAGAAAAAAAGTATTTTTATGTCATTCATACAGTAATTTAGGCTCATTTCTGTAAATCCCTCTTGACTTGTAACCCTTGTTCAAGACTGTAGGACTTGTTCAAATTGCTTATCCAAGTTAGTCAAAGAGTGCTTTGAAGTAGTTTTGTCAAGAGCAGTCAAACTGGGGTGAGTTCTTCATCCGAGAAGCAAAAGTACAGCCTTTCAGCTGGTTGAAGGTGGAACTCCTCCCCATACTCTCCCCCTACACCCTCCCCCTCCCCTAAATTCCCAAAACATTTTTGTTCATTTATCTGGGCAGAGAACAAAACATTTTACAGCTTATCCATAACTAATTATTGTCTGGGGTGCTTACTGAATAAAAAGCCAGGCAATATACAGGTGAATTATAGATAGCACAGTAACAGCGTGACAGATTTCCATGCATCATTTTTAATGAAACCAAGTCATTTTTATGTTTGTATTTTATAGAGAAGTATATTATCTGGAAAAAAAGAATAAAAATCAATGGTACATGTCAGGGTCCTAGGATACGGTATCTGTCAAATGAGTTGCATACCTGATCTGAGGAAAACAGGCTTGGGTTTTATTTTTTGAAATCTAGATCTAGATGGTTGCAGCCATTTAAAAATGCTGGGGGAGGTAGTTACTCATCCACATCCAACTCTTAACAATTTTTTAAAAAGTGATAAACTGGCACTGAGTTCACTATAAATGAAGGCAAGGAGGTAGGCTTTTTCTCTTGCTTAGACCATGGAGCTACTTGTGCAGTTCCCTATGTGGGCAATTAGATCCAGCAGTTCTTTTAAAATATTGTCAGTCTGCACACAAGCCAGTGTTGCTTTAATTCAGTCACTGGTTCTGCTGCCTAGCAGCCCCTATATTCTGTGCTGTAAAGCAGTGGTCTCCAAACTTTTTTGATCACGCACCCCATCAGTAAAAAATTTTTGAGCACGCACCCCCAATATATGTATATTTATATATGTATATTTATATTTTAAATATACATATAAATAGAATTTCTAGTATTTTCTTCCCGCACCCCAATGGATCGTCTTGCGCACCCCACTTTGGAGACCACTGCCGTAAAGGACTGAAATAAGGGCTCTGTTCCAAAGTCCTGATCTGCCAAGAGGGAGAGGGTCAACTAAGCAGGCTCCATGCTTCTCACTGTAAGCAATTCCCCGGATCACTTCCTATCTTTGTCTACCAGGAATACTCTGTGTCCTGTCTTGTGGTTCCATCCTCATCCTCTGTCTCTGGGGCCTTAGTGCAGTCTCAGACTTGGAAATTCCTCTTTCTTCTGCGAGCTGTCCAGCCCTGGTCCAGGCTTTTTGCTTCAGCTTCCCTACCTAGACTTTCCCTGGCTTGCAGTTTTCAAAGAACTGAGAAGGCGAAGCTGGAACTGATCACTGATCACGCACCTGTGTGTGCAAATTTTCCAGAACTTTCCAGCATTAGGAATGAACATCTGTCCGTAGTGTCCTTTGTTGATATTTTCCCTGCAACACTTGTAGGCTTAATACTTACTTTGGTTTCCCAGTTTAGCAAGTTTCCCAAAGATTTGTTGTTGCTAATGATCTGTATTTGCAAAAGCAAGTTCACTTTCCTGCATTTAAACTGCTGCAATTTTCTTGGAAAACAAATCTATCTTCATTTCAGTATTTGAGTCAAACTTCTTGCACTCCATCTATCTGTTCCCCACATGGAAACACTCATATGAACTCTGACAGCCTACAATGCAGAGGTGATCATGACATATTAGGTGTTCAAGGGGCACCACCAGCTGTTCTTGTTCAGTAGCAAAGGCAATGTAGAGCTGTTTTTTAGGTTGTGGATGTTTACAATGTAACATCAGTCCAAAAGTATATGTACTATGCATGCACACAGGCATGTGTACATACTGGAATTATTTAGGCCATTTATAACATCTGATGAAGTAGGCTGTAGTGTATGAAAGCTCATGCTTCAATGAACAAGTTAAGGCACCACACTGCCCTGCCCTTCCATGTGCTAAAATTTAAAAGTTATGCTCTATGGAGAAATTCAAGTTTTTACTACAGTTTAAATGAAAATAAGATGAACATGTCAGATGGTGAAAGAATGTGGGTGTTATGAGGCACTGCAAAAGGAATTTACCACTGCTGGAAATCTTACCTTGTCAGCACCATAACAGGCTGTTACGTAAGTTAAACATGGTCAAAGGAAGGTGAGAGAGCAAACTAATTCTCCCACTGATATATCAACACAACTTGAACTTAAACAGCACCTTTCCTTTGACAAAGGTTCCCAAAGAACTCTATCCATAATTTCACAACACAAAACCTTAGCTGCAGGATTGTTTTGTCCTTTCAAACATACTTGGTTTATGAATTGCACTAGGATGGCTGAGTGGTTAAGGACTTAAGTTCCAATGGATGTATGTCTGTGTGGGTTTGAACCCTGCCCCTGGTAGCTCATCTTTGGGGACCTGGTGACTGTCTATAAACTCACGAGGGAGGAACCAAAAGGGTTTAGGAGAGACCTTGTTTCTCCTGGCATAACAAGGAATAATTGCCACAAGTTGTTGGAGAGTAGGTTTAGATTAGACATCTGTAAGAACTACTTCACAGTTAGGGCAGCTAGAACCAACTTCCAAGGGAAGTGGTGCTGGCTCCTACCCTGGGGGTCTTTAAGAGGAGGCTTAATGCTAGCTGGGATCATTTGAGTCCAGTTTCTTTTCTCCTGCCCAGGCAGGGGGTCAAACTTGAAGATCTACAAGGTCCCTTCCAACCCTACTTCTATGATTCTATGAACTCATCAAACATGTTACCACTCCACTGAACTGCACTTTTTTGTTCCTTATACAAGATATTATCAAGGTTACTATACTGTTGATTAGCATACTGATGTCCTGAGTAACTCATAGTATTTTGGTCTTGTTTAAGTCAGTGGCAGTTTGGTCATCACCTTCAGCAAGACCTGGTTTTGGCCCAATAGGAAGAAAGGAAAGACACACACACATAAGCAAAGGGTGTTTTTTCTTGGGTGATGTAATAAACTAGACATGAAACACAATTATGATTATCACAATCATGTGTAGAGGAGACTGATTCAGCTATAAGAACGAAGCATACGTCACAATCACCTGTATCTTCTAGCCAGCTCCTTAAAAAATATAAAGCACAAAGTTTATGGGATGCAGGCAGTCAGTCAGTCAGTCCCAAGGCCACACCAATCATTGAGGCATCTTTGATGTAGCAATGACTTTCCTCCATTCTTCCTGCAATCCTTGTACAGTAAGTCAGTTTTCCTCCTATCCAGTCTTTGATCTTGGTGGTTCAGCTTGTCCTAGGTCTTTCTCCTCCTCTTTGTCCATCCACAGCACCCTGCAAGATGGTGTTGGCAATGGCAAGGGTGCTGGGCCTTCTTGTTATATGTCCAAACCATTTCCATGGAGCACGGTTTTTATGGGATGCAAGGGGATGAAAGTAATGTATGCACATCTGCTGTAGTAGCTGGCCCTGACCATTAGGGACATAGCATTTTGATGTGATTAAATGCTTTCCAGACACTAAAGACAGGCTTGGACCAGCTTCCTGGATTCAGATTTCCCAGAGCACTACAAAAGTTCATATCCAAACCTGAATTTCGCTTTTAGCTCTGTGTTCATAACCAGCTGAATGAAAATCCCAGTTCTGCTGCCTGAAACTCTGAGGAAATATGAGTCTAGATCTAGATCCACACTTCACATTGACCAGTTCTTCCAAATGCAGAATACACAAGCATACTTTATACTTAGAGCACAGACAGAAGCAACTATTTTCACCCAATCCAGGGACAGAAATCAGTTTATAGCCACGACCAAACACAAGTGCATGGCTGCAGACAGCTTCAAAAATGAATGATTGGGTGAAAATATGACCCCTTATTACATGAGGGTTCAGATGAAGACATTTCAAAACAGAGCATCTTCTGTAACTTCCATTTGCACTGTTAAAGAGTATCTTAATCCAAGTAACTTAAAACACTTTAGCAATTATCAGTATTAATGTGTATTTTATCTTGAATATTTGACAATATACATGATATTGTTTTGTGCAAGGCATATGATGATACTGCCTTGATATTTATATGAGCGGCATGTCTGAAGCAAATGTTGGTTAATTTAGGTTCTGTAAAGGTATTTGCAGTTTTTAATGTTGCTGTAAGAATGTTAAATACTCATCAGTGTTAAACACTTGACTGGCTTTGTGTACACACCTCAGTGCAGGCTGTAAGGGAGGTGCAATGAACAGTGTGAAAAGTGCGAAATGTGTCAGTGTCAATTGTGGGCTCAGCATAACAACTGCTTGTGAATGCAGAAGGAAATAGAAATGTAACTGAAATTTTTGGAAGGGCCAATTTACAAACAGCAAACAGTACTGCTTGCAGTAATGTTTTTCATTTAGTCACTCATAAATGAGGCTTATCTGGACATTCAGTCCTGTGCTAGAACATTTAGCTATGGTGACTCATGAAACGGCTTCTAGGACAGACTAAGAGGTGTTGTTAGATGGTTGGCCCAAAGGAGTGGGAATCAAGAAACCTGGTCCCATCCTGATCAACATAGCCACTAGCTCATTTTAATGCTGCTCTATTTACACATCTCCACCACCATGTTAACATCACCCCACACATCTCTCCAGCTATGTTAACATTGTGCTATGTAACTTGGGCAAGTCCCTTACATGTTCTCTGCCTCAATTTTCCAGTCAGTGAATTAGGGCCAGTAAACCTCCCCACCTCCCAATGGTACGGAGAATAAATGTCTGTAAGATTCAATGCTAGATTTTTATAGTTAGATTTGTGTGATAAGGAAGGTAAGCCTACTGTTTCGTTGGTGTTTATCTTCTTTGTTTTTCCCTCAGTGAAAGGGTCCATGACCTTTTGACCATATTTTAGTTGCTAGAGTTTCTTTGTTTGGTGGAATAGTCCATATATTCATCCTCCTTAGTGCAAAGAACTTTCTCCTAATTTCCTCTTGAGCTCCAGACTTCTAAGTTAAACTGCCCAGTTTTACTTTCAGATGCGCATAATAACTCCCACTAAAACCACTAGGAGTTATGTTAATATATCTGAGGGCAGAATTTTCTTCTTGGTTTCTATCTCATTATTTCAAAACATGACACTGACTCAAAAGTTCCATTCTATTTTCTAAATCTAACTTATAATTGACACATCTTGATCCATTGGTGCCCTTTTACATTTAATCTTTTTTAACGGATCTTATTATTGCGGGTATCTTTCATAAAGTCCAGTAATGTAGCAAACAAGTGCTGATGGCAGGTGGGTCATGTACCCATTCCCCCCCTCCCCAATAAAAGGTCATTTTAGGATTAAACATCAGTGTTTTGGTTAATGTGGCAATTCTTTCTGGAAAGTAAATGGAAAAATGAGTGGTATACTTAGTGAGAAAGCAAAGTATATGCATAGTCTGGCAATCAAATACACGTGTGCTTAACATAGTGAGGGTCAAATCATCTCCAGTTTGCCTATTTCTGGATTTCCTACACCTTTCTCTGGAACAGCAGGAACTGGCTTTTGTTGGAGACAATATACTAGACAAGGACTGAGGAGATTACAGCATTTCTTCACCTGCATGACCACAGTCCATACCTAGAGCCATAACTCATTGTTTCATAGACATTTGGGCAGAGGAACATTTTTGAAATAACGTGTCACTGGAACGATTCATACTGCAATTAACATTGATTGCTGCTCCAAGGTTACTGGTGAGTGTGTGCGTATATATGTGAGAATGAGACCGTGATACCATCCTGCAAGTGAGTCATGGAACTAGATTTTATCCTTTAAATTACGTAAGTATATGACTCAGGAGTCTGTGCAAGATTCTCTTCTCTGTTGACAGAACAAATCAGTTCTGCTGTAGAGTCATTCAGAGAGAACCCTTCAGCAATGATGAATGTAGCAAACAGCCAATATATAGAAAGAATTCTGTATTCTTTACCTGAACATAGGATGAGACAAATGCAGTTTAGAGGAGGCTGATACCCTCACTTCCCACACTTCAACAGAGATGATTGCAATTGTGTGGAAAGAAAGAAACTGTCACAGGATTTGTATAGATTGATTGGTGCTTATGATCACTTTGCTATTTAAACTAAATTTATTTTGCTAAAGTCATTTCTGCTGCTACTTAAGTATACTTGCCCCCATTTATATAAATCAAGTGGCATTTGATTGTAAGGATCAACGTGAAATAATTTCTTTAATTGTGTTTGATTTTTTTTTTCCAGAAAATATTTTTTTACGTTTTAGAGTGTCACATAGATTCAAGTAAAATGCTTTATCATAAAGAGTGTGGCAGATACATTATACACTGATACACACTTTGGCATTGGAATCTCTAATTCTGGTCTTGCAATAGTGACACTGCTTCTGGCATGTCTGAAACTAACATTTCATCCTTCCTTACATTTAGGGCTGGATCCTGCCGGGTGGTAAGCACAGTTGATTGGGCCCAGTGGGCTCAGTAACTTGAAAAACCAAGCTCTTAACCTCTAGTGACAGCATTATCAGATCTGACTCTGTGCTGAAGAAAACATTAGATAAAGAAAGATGAAGTAAGGGAGAACCTACAAAAATCTCTTTCCATTTAATGAACAACAAAGAAAGGTATATTGCTAGTGCTGATACATGCCACTACTGGACCTCTGCTTCCAGACAAATTTCACCAATATTCATGTAAGGTACAATATTTAACCCAATAGTGCTTTAAACAGAATAAGGCTGTGTTCAAACAAGAATGGCCATGTGGTACACTGTTCTCCATGCTGCAAAGGAGCAGCGTGGAGGGTTTTGGTTTTTTTTGACCCCTGGATACTCAGTGGTCCAAAAGAAATATGGAGAAAAAAAGTGGAACTGCACGTGGCAGCAGCATGCAATGCCTGAAGCTGGAGCCTGGCTGGCTGGAGCTGTGCTCCACTGCTGGACAGACTCTGTGCAGCAGGATCGCCAATACTGCAGCCCCAGGAGGCCCCCCAGGACCCCAGGTAAAGCTGCTGGGGCCAACCCAGTGCTGGCCCCAGCCTCCCCTCCCCCACCTGGGGTAACTTGCCACATGGCACTAGTGGAGGTGCACAAAGTGCACCTCCACTAGTTGTTCCCAGGGAACCAAATGTCCACACACATCTGGACGCAGCCTAAGAGGCCCCCGCCCCCCCCCCCACAACACACACACTTTCTTTTTGTAATTAAGAAGAAAGTATAAGCACAGTGGTTGTTTGCAAACTTCTTAAGCCAATACCCCAGATACTTTTCCAGAACACTAAAATGACTTAAATGCTGGATGAAGCAGTGAATGAAACAGCTGCTATACCTGGACACAAGAGTGAACTATTTTTCATGTATATTTCTTAAACAATCTATCTAGCCAAAAGGTCACATTCCAGTGATGCCAGATCTTGCAATAGTTGGTGTTTTAAGTAAAAGTTTCAGCTCCTGTTACCATTTGAATGTGTCAGAATCTCAGCTTTATTTTTGCCTAAAATATATGGGTTTCTAGCCCTCTCAGCTGATGAGAAAAGTAAATATAACCCCAGTAAAACCTACAGGCTCAAATTACAAAATTAAAATAGGAAGAATCCAAACTTATTATTTAAAATAACTTTTCTTGATTTGAAGTCAATTTATGATTTTGAGGGTCTGGCTGATGATTTTTGAATGTGTGGTGTTGATAATATTGTATACAAATTGCCTATAGCTATAGCACATATCCACATTCTTCATCAGTGGATTATAACTTTTAAGGTGGTTATGAGGTGGTATTGATCATTTAACTAAAATCTAAAACAGAAAAAAAACCCTTCACTTCACCACTCTTTAGATACCCTAACACTTCAAAAAAATCAAGAATTCTGTCAAGCTCAAAGCACACACCAAAAATATTCAAACTAGTATCATTGCTTAGTATTCAAGTTGCCTGAAGCTTCCCATTATAAGACCCTGTTTTCAGTTGCTCCAAGGTTACTGGTGAGTGTATCAAACGTTAACCAGTTAGGCGAAACCTTTCTGTGCTTGCCTCAGGGTAAAATGTTTGGAAAGTTTCAGACCAAACAATTCATCCATTCCCAAGAATGAGACTGGGAAAAAAAAAGTGTTTTGCCTTTGTTAAAATATTTTATGCTGAGCCATTCTTTAGACCACCCATGCTTCAGATTATGGACTTCAGTTTTGGCAAAGGTGTCAGAGATGTGCTTTTGTTGATGTCCCTCTTAAAATCCCCCCTAATTTGACCAACTGGTAAGCATTTGAAAAAACCACAAGTCTCACATGTTCAGTTGAAGCGTCTTTGATTTTTACCTGCTAGATTCCTCAGAGATTCCTTCTACACTGACAAGGGCTGGGCAGGACATCACATGCAATTGTGGTCCTGGGTCAGACATCAGAACTGAGACCTGGGAGTCTCTCTCTTTGCTGTGCTTTCAATTCCCCCTCTCCCCTGCTGGACCCAGCCGAAGCAAAAGAGGAAGCTGTGCTTTTTCCCCCAAATGAAGAGGGGCCTGCATGAGGTGTCCATGGTGGACTGGGGAACGGATCCTGGAAACTGACACTGGTGCTTAAGCAGCAGAAGGGTGGGGGAAGAAATATGGGTATGAGAATTGGAGCAGAAGAAAAACTGGGAGCCATGGAGAGAAATGATATGGGCAGTCAGAGACTGATATAGGATCAAGAGCTGTAGGGGAGGGTTGAGATATGCAGTGACAGGGCAAGCAGTTGGGAATGAGAACCGGCTGATGTACAGGAGATGAAAGGGGAAGGGAAGACAGACCAGATAAATGTCCAGAAGGGAAAGAACTGGGACTGGTTGCACTAGGAGGCTGGGACAAGGAGCTAGGACTAACTTGGGAGATATTAGGATTTTTTGGGCAGGGACACAAACTGCTTGGTGAAGAGAACAGGGATGAGACAAGGAGCCAGGTGGGAAAGAGACGGCGCTGGAACCGGGTTTGATCAGAAGAGACAGAGCAGAAGGGGTCACACACATGAAGACTGCACAGAAGAGTCAGTACCAGCTACAGCACACTGTCCCACCGAGCCTGGAATGATTCCCAGGAATAGCAAGTCTCACCAATATCCTTCTGGCAGCAAATATCTGAGAAACTCATGGGCAATGCGTTTCCCAACCACCACTCCTTCCCAGTGCCAGTCCACAAAAAATTGCAACATATCATTGTCATCAATCCCTGCTAGCTCCACTGCCAGAGGTCTGTGGGGCAACCGTGCTGTTGACTCATAAGGGTGTCAGTAAGCGGTTATGCTCCCTTGTGGTTATGCATTATGAATACATTCTTCCACTACATGGTCAGATACTTTTTACCTTCAGGATCTCTGCCTCCTCAGCGGACAGGCTGAACTGGTCTGGGGACAAATCAGGGTCTGGTAGCAAAGTAGGTGGTTGTTTGTAGGATCCCAGCATTGCAGAACCTGGAAGTTTGCAGCAGTGCCATAGCATGAATGGGAAGACTGCCCTGGGTCTGAAGTGAAGGGGCGCCAACAGGCACTGCCCAGTTGGGGCAGGGTGCAGGACGGAGCCACAAGCGGCTCATTTGGGGGCACACCGGGACAGGGGAAGGGCAGCTCCTGATGCTGCGTGCGCTCCCGGGCAAGCGCGGGGGGGAGGGGGGGAGCGTCCTGGATCTGTGCGCAGGGCGAGGGTGGGCTGCCACTGCGGCTTTGCCCCAGGTGCCAAACTTCGTTGCTACAGCACTGGTTTGCAGTAACTGAGGCAGGGACTGTAGAAAAACAAAGGACAGTCTCACCATTCAGGCAGTTTGACAACGTGCTGGAGAACCTGATTCTAGCTCTGCCTGCACCAGGGCATTCTTAGAAGATGCTAAGCAAGTTCCTTAAACCCATCGTCTCACAGATATACCATTTCATAGAGAAGCAAGGATAGAAGGAACCTCAAGAGATCATCTAGTCTAACCAGGGATCAAACTTGTAACCTTGGTGTTATTAGCATTAGGCTCTAACCAAGTTAAGATGATTAGTAAGTGCCCCTCATTTTTTGAGTGCTTGATTCAAGATTGTGGGGTCCAGTTTGCAGAAGAAGTACTGAGCATTCACAATAGCAGCTGAGGTCAAAGGGAGCTCTGCTTTGGGCGTTCTATATAATGCTGAGTATATTGAAGAAAATCACATCTCAAATTGAGCACTCAAAATGACTAGACATTTTTGACATGCCTATTTCAATTCCATGCATGTAAAATGGGGATAACATCAACTCTTCATCTTAAAGGGATATTGGGAAAATAATTTATATTTCTGAAAATGTAGATAACTATAGTAATGAGCCTCACAGAAAAACCCAGAAGGAAGTGATTTATTCTAGCTTCAGTGCAGGGTTTGAATAGTGTACAATAAATAAAATGGTAGGGGGGAAGGGCAACTGAACAACAAGGAGAAACACAATATGGAATAGCTGCTCATTAAATGAACACAGAATGATGCAGGGGTCCTGTGGAAAAAGGCTAAGTAATTAAAGGCTATCTAAATGGCTATGTACAAGAGGACTGAAATAAGGTTGCACAGATGTTCTTACTCTGGCAATTCTCAGCTTTTGTGCTCTTGGCTTTGCAACTTAAAAATGTTTCCATAGTGCGCTTTTTGGGTGCGTAACAAATTAGGGCTATCATTGGTATCATGGATGCTTCTTTTATGTTTACATTTACTAATGTAAGGAGGTCATGAAAATATTTTGCTTCAAACAAGAAACGTGCAAACTTGAAAATGGTTAGGTTACTGATATGCCATTTTCAAAAAAATTCAAAGTAGGAACAGTTGCATCCTGGTGTTCAATTAATCCTGAGGTTAGAGGTTCCTAAATATCCACTGATGTCATCAACCACGCTGGTTCCTCTGCAGCCATTGTTGTTAGTAATGTCAGTAATCCAATGATCAAAACTCTACAGCAACATGAATGAGTACAATACATCATGATAGCATCAAATTTGTATCAGCATCAATTTTGGTCAACTGCTTTAGTTACTCACAGACAGTGATATCTCTTCAGTTCTACTGAAATCTTTTCTTTTCTTTTTCCTTACTCAAATGTCTTATCTATTGCTCTCCACATGTTTACAGATGGGTTTTACCCTTGTGTGGAATAAAGGCATCAAGGGTTCTGTCAAGAAAAAGATTATGATACCACTCTACTCAGTTGCTATTGCAGAAATGGAGTTGAAATGAAACATATTTTAAGTATTTTTTCCCAAATATGCTTCTTTGTGGCAAGCATTTTAAAGTACTCTTGTGAAATCAGTACTTATAAATATGACAAGATTTAAAAAGACAAATATGAAAAGAGCCCCATTAAGCAGCATCGGGGGTCAGATCATAAAAGAAAAGGAAAAGGAAGGAAAGTTTTATCCTGCATCTTAGCTGTGCCTTTGATGAGCTCTTTGTACAAGACAAGTGCCTTCCCCTCTCCTTCTCTGCCTCACATTTTCAGACCAAGCTTTCTATCAAGCTTTTGGGCATAATGCTGTGCTGATGACCCCTGTTGTGAACTTCTTTTAATTGCTCCTGTGCACAAGGACATTGATTAGCAATCATTTTCCAAATTAAACGGATCTAGTGCTGATTACTAATTTAGGGTCTATATTTATTTTTTGTGTGTGCATGGAATACAAAATGTCAATGAAGTGGTTATATAGGTTTTGTCAACATGAGAGTGGAATGACTGTATTAATCATATTTTTGAAACCTCTGTCACTCACCCCCAAACCATCTCTGCCCTGTGTGGATGGACCTTTACTACTATAGAGCCCCACTGAAGTCAGTGGACTGAGGTAGGGAGGCTAAGGAGGGCAGCTAGCAGGATCAAGGTCTTTATTCTCTACTACATCATCCCATGCATGCTATGTGATAGATAACATCAGGTGTATAAGTGTAGCAAAATATGCTTCAGAGGAAGACAAGAAAAATATCTCAAACATCTGTAAAAGTGGCCTTTAAAAGGCTCGTAATGTTTAAAACCAGTACTTCAAGCCCTTCCAGGGCTATAAGCTGGGAATCTTGCCAGTCCAATGTTTAAAGATCCTGTCATTGTCTTGATGCACAGTGGGATAGCATACTGTAAACCTAACACTGGTCCAGTACTGAATGGTGTTTGTCCTGGGTGTGAAGCCAATGTAGCTTTTTGGCAGCAAATTCCAGATTTGTGTGAAAGACTTTAGTGAGGGTTGAGTTAAAAAACTTAAGTGCTTGAAATGTGTCCCTTAAAGTGCTAGGGCATCACACAATAGAATCTTTTTCTCCTGACTCTTCCTCATTTTCTCTCTGCCTGCAGCTTTGATTTTAGGACCACAGAACTAAAAGGGACCTTCAGGGTCACTGAGTCTAGTCCCCTGCTATCACAAACACCAGGTCATACAATTCTTTTCACAAGCTTATCAAGCTTCATCTTAAAAATGTTTCTCTCCATCACCTCAATTACCAGTATTGGAAAGCTGTACCGGAACCTCATTGCCCTAACAGAGTAACTTTCTTCTGATTGTCAGACTAAACTGACCCGAGTTCCTACTCCAGCTCTAATTTCTTTTTCACTGAACATGAATAACCCGAGCCATGTACAATATTCCACATCAATGCCTCACAAATACTAAGATTCGCTGGCATAAATCTGTGCTACAGAAAGTTTTGGGATCTTCTTTGCACCATCGTATCACAGAGTCAACACTAACTGGAGCACGTTTTTTGGAAAATAATTTTTAAATGCCTGCTTGGATCACCCTCCTCCCCCTCAGTTCCACCAGAATCATAACTCAGAGACTGAAAGCAGTTCAGCTGTTAAGGCATATCACAAGCAATTCAGTTATTGTGCAAGAATCAAGGACTGGATAACAAGGATGGGTACTATGACCTAAATCATATCGGTCTGATGGGAGAGGGGAGGGGAAAAAGGAGTAAGAGAGGAGTCAGTTTGTAGAAAGAACTTTACAGTGGATTTTTTTTTTTTTTAGCAAAGTAGTAAAACAATCTTCCAGCTGGTACTCACTAAGCCAAAGTACACAACATCTGAGGTTACACTGCTTGAAAGCCATCACAGCATTTGACCAATTGTATACGTAGAATACGACTTGTACAATGTACACATCACACCAGAAGACATCTGGGGAATAAGAAAAAAAAAGGCTAAGAAATTAACAACCAATAGATTGTACTGGCCTAGAATACCTAAGAGCTGCAAAAGGACTGTGAAAGTAATTACTGCAAGATGTTTCTAGTTTAGAGTAGAAGGAGCCTACTTCTGAGATGACTGTGTAAACATTTGCTATGCAGTGCATTTTTCCACAAAGAAGCAAGGATGTTTTGTGACATCTTTTACTTGACTAACTGTACAGCTGGAAACACGGTCGAACAAGGTTTTGGGCATCAAATGCCCATCCTCAGGTCTAACACCATTCTGACCCTTTTTCCATATAAAAATGTGAATTCTTCACCCCACATTATTCTAAGATATTTGCCCTCTTTTTTGGATTAAAATAATCACAAGCAGTTTGATGTCACTAAATCTTTGCGTTAATGTACCAACAGGACAACAAACTGAAATAAAACGGCAACAAGCAATTTCTACTGGGTGGGGCAGAAAATGAGAAGTGTCCATTTTCTAATGTTTCCTGACACATGACAACTAGAACAAATGAAAAGTATCAGGCACCCTTCTTTCTGGGATGATAGCCTATGATTCAAGAGTGCATTTTAACAGAGTGGAAGTGGGCTGTCTTAGTGAAATGAAGGACAATTGGGATGCTTAGAAATTCAAGTATACATCAATGTGGAAAAGGATAACCTCTCTCTTACTCTGCTGACCCAGTCATATAACCTACACTGTGACAGGAAGTTTTTAACAGCTACTACCAGTCACAGCCATTACTGAATTCAAGCAGACTGCAATTCTGACATCCAGTGGCCAGTTATACACATTTCAAGTGCATCTTTCTTCTCTTTTATGGGCACGTGTAGTGATATGCTTTTTATTCTTTTAAGCATTTTAGCAGAACATATCAACATTTGTAAGTGTTTCCTTTTTCAATGTTTAAATCAACATAATCCTGCAGTGCCTGCCAAGAACATCACTTACTGCACACAGTGGTTTTTTATCAAAACATAATGAGACTAGAGAGCAGGATACAGGTGCAGAAATAAAATGGTAAATATTTCATAATTACATACAATAATATTTAATTGTAAAGCACTAATTATCTTGAAACACTTAATTGTTTTAGTAACACAAATCCGCATACCTAATTGCAGCTCAGTGATACCCAAACGCACAGAAAAAGAACCCCGTCCTTTTCTGTACCTTGTTTATTACTAAAGCTCTGATTCTGCAGATGGAAGCGGGTGGGCACCGAGATTCCCCTGCGTGCATCTGACTGCAGAACCAAGGCCAAATAGTCACACTGAGCTCCAGATTCAAACTTTTCTTTTTAGGGCTTTTTTCTTTTCAAATCATAGATTTTGATTATTGCCCCTGTCTAATCCAAAGAGTACTTACAGGAGCTGTAAGAGGCAGACCGGCCTTTCAAATGTACCTTCTACACTGTGGACAGATTAATTTTAGTCAATAAATCTTAATCTAGAACTTCTAAAATGCCTGAAGACAAACTCTGGATCCTGTCACTGAAAGACATGTCAAATGTTACTGAGTATCCCTGATGCATCCCTGTCTTACATATAGGTGTCCTTTTGCAAAAATAATCAAGTCTTCAGGCACCTGGCTGGGGTCTTATGACCCCTGCAACCCCCAGTGCTCCTTCCTGCCCATGCCAGGGGGTCGGACTCAATGATCTGTCTAGGTCCCTTCCGACTCATTGATTCTATGATTCCTTCATAGCCAGGGAGATTCCTTCCCCTCCTACTTTGCTCTTGAATATTTCAAAGCAGTATTTTCTTGTAAAACACAAAGACTTTCAGCTTTTCACTTCAATTAGGTATGGGTCAGCATCCTATGGCTTGCAGGCTAGAGCTAGCCTATGGAGCCTTTTATCTGGCCCACAGAGCTGGGGGACTTCTGTGCTGTTTCAGCAACGTGGGCAAGTAGGGGGAGGCAATGCACACTGGGCTGGAAGCTGCCTGCACTTGGAGCTAAGCTCTGTTAAAGTGGATCCCCTATTCCAAAACACTGCCAAACTCTGAATTAGATCGTCCCCACCACCTTCCAGTGTAAGCCCCAGCAGTGTTGTCAGTAAGCTGTGCTACTTCTGTGCGTAAGGACTGCAAACTCAGGCCCAGGGGAAGAATGCAGGAATTAGTAAAAATTTTAAACCACGTAATTGCGTAAACAATTTTATGGAAAACAAGGCTATTAGGCAACCCCTGTTTCAGGAATATGTTCCAACAGAGTCCTGCTCCATTTTTATTCATGACCTCTGTTAAGCAACTCATTTTGTTGGTACTTGGCGTGGTCGTTATAATGAGTGACGACTGTGTTTGGCATGGAAGAGATTTTCCCAGATTCAGGCAGTCAGTTAATAAATCCATACTCTAATAATCTGCTTTAACTGTTCTGTACATCCACTCCATCCCACAGTAAATGGAAGCTAACCTGTGGTAATTCAGCAGCTATTTCATTTGTACCTGTTGTACCTGCCCCAAGCCTCACTTACTGTGGGACAGGAGCACACATACAGCAGCTGTGATCAACTGTCATGTCTGCCTGACTGGCAAATTCCTTCTCCCCCACACTGATATCTGTTTAACTGTATTGTCAGTCTGCAGCCATAAAAACCACAGTCCACAATACGTCCTAGCCACTGGAAGATTCCTGGCAGCAACTGCACTCATGTGGTACCCTTCCAACTTCCCATCTGCAACAGACAAGCAATTAAAAACTATGCAAAATGCAATTGTGTTTATATAATTAATAAAGCTCATGTTCACCCACATCTATGTTGTCAAAAAAATCTAGTTTAGCAATGGTTTAAACAAGACTAAAACAGAATCCAATAAAAACACTTTTTCACTGGCTGGTTTTCCTAAGGCCAAACTAGATGATACTCGCACATTAAAAGATGCCACGGTAGTAACCTAGGCTAGAACCTGCTTTAAAAAAAAACCTGTTTATACCTCTACTTGGTCATGTCCATATTGGCCAAAGTGGTTCATATGCAACTACATTAAACAATTCTAAGCATAGTTCCTTAAATACTGGAGACCAGGCCAAAACATGGGGATTGTCAGCAGTCAGTACAACTGTGCAGAGTACAGTAAGTCCCTGTACAAACTTTCTCATCCAAGTCCAACCAACACAGCCTAGTCTCCTTGAATCCTTCTGAACAGAGTGGTGTATATAGAGTAGTTCGACCCATTCATTTGCAACCAGTTAAATGAAAAGCTTTCCACGTAACATTTGGATTGTGCCTCAGTCCTGTGCTCTTGTCTATCATTTCCTTCACATAGCAATTTTTTAACATATCCATAACAAAAATGGGGCAGTGCCTTTTCACAGAGGAAATGACCAGAAAACAGAACTGCTGACAAGAAAATGTCATTGCTTCATTTCCAGCTGTCACTGCAGGGCTCTCTCACAGTTCAGCCCTATCAATGTGAGACTTCCTGTGCTGGCTATGTATAAAGCAGATCCGTTTATAAAAAGGTCACTTCAAGTACTGGCATAAACTGCAGTTTACAGTGCCAGCTTTAGAGCAACACCCCACTAGCTATGCTACTTAATTTATATTGTGTGCTTTACAAATAAGGACAGGGACTACCCTCCCCTCTTCCCACCAAGGACCCACAATAATAGAAATAACTAAGCACACAAAATTCCCTGGATATTCCATTGCCTGCTTTTCCATCATTTGCTAACTTGACTCTACAACAGGTGAAATAGATAACAACTGCATTATCTGATCCATATCTTCACTTTACAAAGCCACTTAAAGCTTGATCCAATATCATTAAGGTCAATAAGAGCTTTGTGTTCACTACAAAGACTGAACATTTGATTTAGATGCATGGGATCCTTAATTACCAGCAATCCCCAAAAAGAGTTTACAGTAAAAAAAAAAAAAAAAAAAAAAAAAAAAATGAGTAAAGATATTAGCCCATCCTAAGTCCCTAGCTTATTACTAGATTTGTCAATTAAAGTAATTAGAAATTCAGTAAATGATTTTTATTACAAAAATATATTTTGAACATTAAATAATCGAGAAGCTAAAATTTCTGACTGTGCTTGATAACTCTTCTGCGGGGACGCCACGTAGCTCTGAGTATTCTTATTTTCAGGCTTCAACCTCTCCTTTGTAAGCCCCAGAGAATGGTCCAAGGGTTTGTTAACAGCTGCTTGGATTTCAGGAAAAAAACCCTTCAGAACCCTTTCTTTTTTTAAGTTCCTTTCACAGATAATTAGGATAGGAAGGGACCTCAGGAGGTCATCTAGTCCAAACCCCTGCTCAAAGTAGGACCAACCCCAACTAGATCATCTCAGCCAAGGCTTTGTCTACCCAGGTCTTAAAAACCTGCAAGGATGCCATCATTTCTCTGTGTAGCTCATTCCAGTGCTTTACTGACCCTCTAGTGCAAGTTTGTTTTCACATTTGACCTAAACTTCTCATGCTGCAACTGGAGACCGTTGCTCCTTGTTCTGTGATCTGCCACCATTGAGAACAGCCTAGCTCAGGGGTGGGCAATTATTTTGTCTGGAGGGCCTCTTAAAGAGTTTTGGTGACCTCTCAAGGGCTGCAAAAGTAGCCCCACCCCTTGACTGGTGCCCCACCCCCTTGTCACCATCTTGGGACCAGAAGTCCTGCTCCTAACCCCTGACCTTTGCTACCAGAAGTCCCTCCCCTTGCCCCTACAAGTACCCCTTTATTTTTT